AGAAAAACTTTTTAAAATCTATTTTTATATATAGTGGCTATCATTTGTAAATCTCAAACTCCCAAATTTATCCCTTCCCCTTCTTTCCCCAGTAACCATAAAATTGTTTACTATGTCTGCAAGTCTGTTTCTGCTTTGTAGATGAGTTCATAGTGTCCCTTTCTTTTTTTTTTTAGATTCCACATATGAGTGATATCATATGGTATTTTTCTTTCTCTTTCTGGCTTACTTCACTTAGAATGATGATCTCTAGGTCCATCCATGTTTCTGCAAATGGCATTATTTTATTCTTTTTTATATATTGACTCTCCCATGCATTCCTGGGATAAATCCCACTTGGTCATGGTGTATAATCCTTTTAATATGCTGCTGTATTTAATATTATTAAGTCATATATTTACATGGTTCAAAATGCAAAAGCTTTTTGTCCATCCCTTTCCCTGATGGTAGTAAGTTTCTTATGTATGTTTCTTGTGTATTGTTTATGTATATACAGTAGTCCCCCCACCTTATTCCCAAGGGATTCATTCCAAGACCATCAGTGGATGCCTGAAATCTCAGATGATATCAAACCCTATATATACTATTTTTCCCTATACATACATACCTATAACAAAGTTTCATTTATAAATTAGGCACAGTAAGACATCAACAGCTATAACTAATAATAACATTGAACAGTTACAACAATATACTGGAATCAAAGTTACGTGAATGTGGTCTCTCTCTCTCCAAATATCTTACTGTACTATACTTACCGGTTTCCCTGTGTTGATGTGAGATGATAAAACTCCTACGTGATGAGATGAAGTGAGGTGAATGAGGTAGGCTTTGTGATTTGTATTAGGCTCTTGACCTTCTGATGTATCTTCAGAAGGAGGCTTGCCTGCTCCAGATGATCCCAGATCACCAAGTCATGATGATGTTGGTGCTGCGGATCCCGAGCAGGACAGAGCAGAATGACATGAGATACCAGGGTTCAAGATACTCACAGTGGTGCACAATTTAAAATTTATGAGTTGTTTATTTCTGGAGTTTTTCATTTAATATTTCCAGACCACAGTTGACTGTGGGGAAACCTCAGATAAGGGGAGTTCTACTGTACAAGCAAAATGTCTGTTGGGTGGGCCATCCTCCCATCAGAAGCCCCTGTGAGATCTCTGTCCCCTGCTGTTTCAGCTGAAAGGCTTGTCGCACCAGAAGTGCCCTGAAGAAGTCGAACGCATGCTGCACGTCGTTGGTCTGGAGGACAAGCGGGACTCCCGGAGCAGGTTCCTGAGTGGGGGGATGAGGCGCAAGCTCTCCATCGGCATCGCCTTCATAGCGGGCTCCAAGGTACAGGGGCAGCGGGGCCTGGGATCCTGGCCAGGGCCCCCACAGGCAACAGACAAACACGATGAGCAGCAGGGTCCAGAAGTATTGCCTTCCAGCTCCCATTTGGCCTGGGCTTGCTGCAGGCCTGCCAGCCATGGCCCAGGCACCTCAGCCCTGGATGCCCTGGATGGGCAGTTTGGTGGATGGTACTGCTGCATCTTCATAGACCTCAAGCCACACAGGGCCTATAGCCCAGCAGTCTGGGCCTGGAACACGGCTCTGCCATCATCACAAGGCTGTTCCTCTGCCCTCCAGGTGCTGATGCTGGATGAACCCACCTTGGGCGTGGACACCATCTCTAGGAGGGCCATCTGGGCCCTTCTTTAGCAGCACAAGACTGACTGCAACATCCTGCTGACCACCCACTTCATGGATAAGGCCGATCTGCTGGGGGACCACATCGCCATCATGGCCAAGGGGGAGCTGCAGTGCTGCGGGTCATTGCTGTTCCTCAAACAGAAATACGGTGAGCGGCCAGTGGTGGGCAGTGGGGCGGGGTCTGTTTCATTTAGGGTCAGCGTTGTTGGTCCCGTGTGCTGGACAAAGTGCCCACTGTTAACTTTCCTGAAAGGCCCTGAGATCAGACAGGGAGAGGCCTTTTCTAGATGTCCTGTTCTGCTGCCTCTGGACAGAGACCCAAGGCCCCAGGCAGAAGGAGTTGTGAGAATGAGGAAGGAATAAAGCAAAAAGAATGTCTGAGAATGTGAGTCAGAAGGCCTGTGATTGAGTTCCACTCTGCAAGTTTACTGCCTCTTCATCCTGGTGGCCAAATTGATCCATTCTTTTTTAGCCTTAGTTTGCTCATCTATACAGTGGAGATTAAGATACCATGTTCCTCAAAGAGTGAGATAGTGCATGCAAAATTGTGAGTTATTTCCACAACTGGTTGTACTCCTCATTGGCGTCCGACCACAGACATCCTCCCCTGTTGTCCTTGACCCCATACCTCTCGGTTTCCTCTTATGTCTCTGGCTGCTCCTTTGCATCACCTCTAAACATGGAAGTGCCTCAGCTGCTTCACTTTTTCTTTAATGCCCACTGACTTAGTGATCTCATCCAGTGTCCTGGCTTCTCTGTGCTGAAAACTGTATGTATCTCAACTGAACTCCAGGTTTGTGTATCTAACTGCCTACTCCACACCTCCACGTAGATGGTGAATGGACCTGTCAGACTTGTCCAAAGCCTGTGCAGAGCTGAGCTCCAGCTCTTTACAACCAAGCCCTCTCCCCCACAGTAAAGCAGCTCTGTTCTTCTAGAAGCTTGATCAAAACTTTGGAGGCTCCCTAATCCTCTCTCATAGCCCGTATCTGATCCATCTGCAAACCCTAATGACCTCACCTTCCTCCCATCTCTACCACTTGCTATCACCCTGGTCCAGGCCTCCATCCCCCTACCTAGATTATTACAATTGCTTTCTAAGCCACCCCTAGCCTCTGCCCTGTTGTCAGAATGAGCATGTCACTTGCTGAGTCCTCCAGTGACTTTTCGTCCCACTGGGAAGACAAGTCAGAGTCCTTGGCCTGGTCCTGTTACCCCGACTGCACTTCCTAATGCTCTTCTGCTTCCTTGCTCTGCTCCTGCCTCATGGCCCCGTGCTGAACCAGCATGCCAGGACTGCTCCTTCCTCCAGGCCTGCGTGTTGCCATGCCTTCTATTCCGCAGGTCTCCAGTCCTTATACAGATGTCACAGTGAGGCCTTCCTCGTGACCCTGTTTAAAATCACAATCCCTGATACTCTGTATCACCTTCCTTGTTCATCTTTCTCCTCAGCATTTGTCACTAATAGTCTATATTTTTTGCTTATCTGTCTTATTATCTATCTCACATCCCTTTAGTAAAAGCCCTTTGAGAGTAGGGAGTTTTGACTATTTGGTCCACTGCTATATGCTCAGTACCTAGAAGAGTGCCTGTCACATCATAAGAGCTCAATAAGTGTTTGTTGAATGACTACATTGCTAGCAATGTAGTAACAAGCATTTCTAGTAATTTCTGAAAGAATGTTTATGATACCATAAGGTAGCTATCCTCAAAAATACAATTTAATTATGATAGAGGTATCTTTATTCTTAACCTTACTGTTCAAGGCCCCTGTCTACTAAGTTTTCACTTCCCCACATTAGTTATCCCTGAAAGGGAGTGTTGCTGTTAATGCAGCCTTTCTTTGTGTTGCCTAGCATTGCTAAATGTGCTATTATCACCTCCCAACCATGGAATAGAAGGTAAGACTCTTAAGAATAGCATTACAGACCTTCAGAGGCATGTTCTTTGTGGTTTAAATTTGACTCCATGGGGCCCTCCAGCTTTTCTTTCCTGTGTCCAGAGCTGTCCTTTTCTAAGCTACAGAACACTAAATGTGGCTATAAAGAATGAACTGTTTCATGTGCAGGATATTATATGACTTTAGTGAAAAAATCTGATTGTAACACAGAGACAGTTTCTCATCTGATTTGTCATCACATACCAAATGCAATTTACCAGCCTAGCACTGGAGAAGAAATAACATTTATACTTCCTCAAGAGAGCACGCACAGGTATGGACCCAAGAGGACTGGAGTGATAGCTTGCATGTACCGGATGTCCCTGCCCTCACCAAGGGCACTATTCTGTAGTGATCTGGATCCTCGGGCCTTTGGTACTTCCTAGAGAGACACCACATCCCAGCTAGAGTGCACCTGAAAATACAGGACTCTGATCATGTCACTTCCCTCCTTAAAAACCCTTGATGGCTCCAGGTTACCTGCAAGTTAAAGTCGAATTCTTTAATACGGCTTTACAGGGGCCCTTGATTGCGGGTACTCTAATTACCTGCACCTGAGTAACTGAGCTTAGATGAAGATTTTACTTGATTTTTCCATTAACTTACAGCAGGCCCTTGAACAACACAAGTTTGAGGGTAGGTCCGTTTATACATGGATTTTTTTCTTTTTCTTTTTTTAGCACCTTTATTGTGGTAGATTCCTTTACAGTAAAAGACATATATTTCAGATGTATAATTTGATGAATTCTGATAGATGTATACACCAATGAAACCACTACCACAATCAAGATAGCTAACATTTCCATCACTACCCAAGAGGTGCTAATTTCAAATTCCCAATTTATCTCTTCCCACCTCTGTTACTCCCTGGTAACCATAAGGTTGTTCTCTATGTCTGTGAGTCTGTTTCTGTTTTGTAGAGAAGATCACTTGTGTCTTTTTTCTCATATTCCACATATAGGTGATATCATATGGTATTTTTTATTCTCTTTCTGGTTTACTTCACTTAGAATGACAGTCTCCAGGTCCATCCATGTTGCTGCAAATGACATTATTTTATTTTTTATGGCTGAGTAGTATTCCATCATATCTATCTATCTATCTATCTATCTATCTATCTATCTATCTATCTATCTCATCTTTATCTAGTCATCTGTGGATGGACATTTTGGTTGTTTCCATGTCTTGGCTATTGTAAATAATGCTGATGTGAACACTGTGGTGCATGTGTCTTTTTGAATTATGTTTTCCTCTGGGTATATGCCCAAGAGTGGGATTGCTGGATCATATAGTTTTTTTAAGGAACATCCATACTGTCCTCCATAGTGGCTGCACCAATTTACATTCCCACCAACAGTGTAGGAGGGTTCCTATTTCTCTACACCCCCTCCAACGTTTATCATTTGTGGACTTTTTAATGATGGCCATTCTGACTGGTGTAAAGTGATAGCTCATTGTAGGTTTGATTTGCATTTCTCTAACATCTCTCTTAGTGATGTTGAGCATCTTTTCATGAGCATGTTGGCCATCTGGATGTCTTCTTTGAAGAGATGTCTATTCAGGTCTTCTGCCCAATTTTTGATTGTTTTTTTTTTAAATTAAGCTGTATGGGCTATTTGTATATTCTGGAAGTTAGTCCCTTGTCAGTTGCATTATTTGCAATTATCTTCCCATTCTGTAGGTTGTCTTTGATTTGTTGATGGTATCCTTAGCTGTGCAAAAGCTTTTAAGTTTAATTAGATCCCATTTGTTTATTTTTGCTTTTATTTCCATTACTTTAGGAGCTGGTTCAAAAAAATATTCTTGTGATTTATGCCTATGTTTCCCTCTAGGAGTTTTATAGTATCTGGCCTTACATTTAGGTCTTTCATCCATTTTAAGTTTATGTTTGCATATGGTGTTGGAGAATGTTCAGTCTTTTACTGGTAGCTTCCCAGGTTTCCCAGCACCACTTGTTGAAGAGATTGTCTTTTATCCATTGTATATTCTTGCCTCCTTTGTCATAGATTAATTGACCATAAGTTTGTGGTTTATTTCTGGACATTCTATCCTGTTCCATTGATCTGTGTGTCTGTTTTTGTGCCGGTACCATACTGTTTTGATTACTACAGCTTTGTAGTGTAGTCTGAAGAGAGCATGATTCCCCCAACTCCGTTCTCCTTTTTCAAGACTGTTTTGGCTATTTTTGGAGTACAGGTCCTTTGCCTCCTTGGGTAGGTTTATTCCTAGGTATTTTATTCTTTTTGGTGTGAAGGTAAACAATATTGTTTTCTTAATTTCTTTTTCTGCTACTTTGTTTTTAGCGTATAGAAATGCAACAGATTTCTGTATATTAATTTTGTATCCTGCAAATTTACCAAATTCATTGATGAGCTCTAGTAGTTTTCTGGTTGCTTCTTCAGGTTTGTCTATGTATAGTATTATGTCATCGATGAACAGTGACAGTTTTTCTTCTTTTTTAATTTGAATTCCCTTTACTTCTTTTTTTTTTCCAATATCCATCATAGGGGACTATTTATTTATTTATTTATTTTCTCTATCCCTTTACTTTTTTAAAGTTTATTTATTTATGTATTTATTTTACAATACCATACTTGTAAAAATTGAAATATAGTTGATGTACAATATATGTTACAGGTGTACAATATAATGAATCACAATTTTTAAAGGTTATACTCCATTTACAGTTATTATAAAATGTTGGCTATATTCCCATGGTGTAAAGTACATACTTGTAGCTTATTTTATAGCTGATGATTTGTACCTCTTACTCCTCCACTTCCATCTTGCCCCTCCCCATCCCCTCTCCCCACTGGTAACGACTAGTTCATTCTGTGCATCTGTGAGTCTGCTTCTTTTCTGTTATATTCACTAGTTTGTTGTATTTTTTTAGATTCCACGTGTCAGTGATATCTTACAATATTTGTCTTTCTCTGCCTGACTTATTTCACTTAGCATAATGCCCACCAAGTCCATCCGTGCCGTACACCAGAAACTAATATGACATTTTAAATCAACTGTACTTCAATTAAAAAGCAAACAAACAACAACCCATTTAAAATATGGGCAGAAGAACTGAGCAGACAGTTTTCCAAAGGAAATGCTGATGGCCAATAGGAACATAAAAAGCTGCTCAGCATCACTAATATCAGGGAAATGCAAATCAAAATCACAATGAGACACCATCTCACACCTGTCAGAATGGCCGTCATCAAGAAGAACACAATAACAAACGTTGGCAAGGATGTGGAGAAAAGGGAACCCTTGTACACTGTTGGTGGGAATGTAAATTGGTGCAGCCACCTTGGAAAACAATATGGAGGTTTCTCAAAAACCCCAAAACAGAACCACCATATGGCCCAGCAGTTCCACTCCTGGGCATATACCCGAGAAAAACAAAAACACTAATTCAAAAAGATACATACACCCTGCTATTTATAGCAGCATTATTTATAATTGCCAAGACACGGAAGCATCTCAAGTGCACATCAATAGATGAATGGATAAGTAAGATGTGAAAAATAATGTGACAATGAATATATGTATGTTCATGTATAACTGAAAAATTGCGCTCTACACTGGAAATTGACACAACATTGTAAACTGACTATAACTCCATAAAATAAAATTAAAAAAAATAAGATGTAGCATACACATGCAATGGAATACAACTCACCCATAAAAAGGAAGGATATTTTGCCATTTGTGGCCCTTCATTTGCTTTTTTTTTTCACTTCAAAAACCAGAATTTTATTATTGGCATAAACATTTCCATTGCATCAAAACAGCAAAATACATAGAAATAAACTTAACCAAGGAGGTTACTTATAGTCTGAAAACTGTAAAACATTGGTGAAGAAAATTAAAGATGATACAAAGAAACGGAACAATATATTGTGCTTTTGGATTGGAAGAATCAACATTATCAAAATGACCATACTACCCAAAGCAGTCTACAGATCCAATGCAACCCCTGTCAAAATAGTCATGACATTTTTCACAGAACTAGAACAAACAATTCCAAAATTTATATGGAACCAGCAGAGACCCTGAATTGCCAAAACAGTCTTTTGTAGGTCTTTTTTTTCTCTTTCTTCATTTTGTTCTCTTTTCTTGTGATTTGATGACTAGAGAAGTTCTTTTAAGATTTGTTGTAAAGCTGGTTTGGTGGTGCTGAATTCTTTTAGCTCTTGTTTATCTGTGAAGCTTTTGATTTCTCCATCAAATCTGAACAAGAGCCTTGCTGGATAGATATTCTTGGTTGTAAGTTTTCCCCTTGCATCACTTTAAACATATCATGCCACGCCCTTCTGGCCTGTAGAGTTTCTGCTGAAAAATCAGCTGATAACCTTATGGGACTTCCCTTGTATGTTATTACTTGCTTTTCTTTTGCTGATTTTAATATTTTCTCCTTATCCTTAATTTTTGTCAATTTAAATACTATGTACCTTGATGTGTTCCTCTTTCGGTTAATCCTGTGTGGAACTCTCCTTCCTGGACCTGGGTGACTGTTTCCTTTCCCAAGTAAGGGAAGTTTTTGGCTATTATCTCTGAATATTTTCTCAGGTCCTTCCTCTCCCTCTGTCTCTCTGGGACCTCTATAATGTGAATATTAGTGTGCTTCGTGTTGTCCCAGAGCTCTCTTAAACTTTGCTCATTTTTTCTTTTTTTT